GTATATGGAGAATTTAGTTCCATTAATTTCACACTTCGTTGTAAAAAATCTCTGTAGCCTGAACCGCACAGATATGTTACCATGTGGTATTATACTGCAAAAAATATGGTATTGTATTGCATTCTTCGGCGGTAATGCAAGTTATCTCTTGGCTTTTTTAATTAGTAAGGACTAAGCATTGTTAGAATTTTACGATTTAATTGAAACGGTTGCACTCAAACCTAACCACACTATGATTGGCAGAACAGACACTGAATGAAACTTAGGATTACTCTAGTCAATTGAATAAATAATAGAAAACAACATACGTCGACCACTTCAGCAGCAATCTCTAGTAGCAAAGGATCTTTTGTAGCTCGATAAACATAGTACAAACTTTCGACAAATTCTGGTCTCAGAGGATAACCAGCACGCTTCGACACCTAACATGCTTTACAATTTTTCGCAAAAGGTAACCACTCGAAAACGAAAAGAGAACTGATCAATCAGATGTTTTCTACGTTAGAATCAGGTGTTACTATTTTCGAAGTTATAGAAATTACAGTTGAACAGATTAAGAGATACAGAACTTATTTTAAGTTAAACAAAAATGAGGAATTATCTTCCTTATACGCTGTAATGAAATTCAAAGCAGTATTGCCATCAGAAACAGAGAAAGCAGAGACGAACCGCTTCCTGTTTTGGAAGATTGAAAAATTCTGGTGGGAATCCATATTGTCGTATCACTTGACTATACTGGTAAATTATTCGCTGCGCATCATCAACATCTCCAGTCAGCGCCTAACAAGATATGGTGATAAAGTGAATCTTAATCCAACAGAAAAAATTTAATAAAGAATTCAAATAACTAACCAATAAACCAGGCCAAAATGATTCCAAGGACTGGAATATCGGCATTGATAATTGCCCGCTGGTCATTGAAATCCATACAAACCAATCATCCTTACGAATATACTTATTGATTGCTTTTACATATGCTGCAACAATTTGTCGCTAAAATTAATAAAATTACCAGATTCATACATAGAAAGTGTGTACAGTATTCGCTTAACAAACTTTTTTGTCGAGTTTTTCACCCACTATTAAAAAAAAAGAAAACTTTTCACTGGTTCAGAACGTAAGTCCAGCGCTGAGCAGACCATACTTTTAGAACGTACATTAATAATATTTACCATAAGAATGATTGAAGCATTTAATCTAACTTACTCTTGAACTGCTTCATCAGTTCAGGACGCTGAAACAGTAAAGCAGCTTTTGCGAGATATTCAAAGTATGAATCCACACCAGCACCAATACCAGCATCCGTTGCCGTCCATTCCCCAGTTTCCACATTAATATGATTTCCAACCAAATTCAATGGCGAACGTAGTTTCCACATAGCATCCAGCGCTTTCAGAGCTACTCGTTCATAAAGTGGATTACCCAAAAATACGACATATATTGAAATCATACAAAATTAACCCTAAAGATTTAGACAAAAGAGAAATATGGTTACGATTCCTTGCCATGAAGCACCTTAGAAATTTGAACATCCGTTCAAATAATTCAAATAATCAGTTCACATTTAAACAAATGGGAAATATACAAATTCTAAAGCAAAAAGTCTTCATACGAAATCCATTATACAGGTTCTTACAGTAATGCGCGACAAAGTCCCAAATTCCAGCAGCATTGTGCCAACGCCAGCAGTACATGTTATGGCTGTTTCATTTGGATGAAGACCATGTCTGAAAAATTTCATGCATGCAACGGCCTACTCAGACTGATTTAGAGCAAACAAATAAGAACCGCATGACTTTTGAACAATTATATTTAGCAGATTTTTTTATTTCTCGTCCAAATCCAGTTTCCATTAGAAAGGAACGGTTAAATAGTGACGTCTTTTGCTTTCTTTTAATTTTCTTGCAACTAAAAAAACCAACTTCAAGTTAATCGTTCCGTAAGGCATTCCAGTAGCAGATTTAAAAGCAGGTACCAGCTTTTGAGTGAAACGTTCGGCAAGTCGTAGCAGAGGTCCCGAGCAGGGCCATCCCGGTTCTAACGCCATTCCTTAAGATAAAATGAGGAAAACAATAAGGTATTTTTGGCAAAAAATCTTATTTTGTAAACAGTACTAAGTCTCAAGTACAAAAATTAACCAGTGAATGAAAAAAGTTAACCTTTTACTCGTCCAGAAAGCATATGAGCACTTAATAGACCGCCGACTACCCGTATGTTGGTTTCAAACACTGATACATTAACATTCATATCAACCTAATCAAAAAAACGGGGAGTAAAAGGATTAATGTAAATCAAAGAAGTTTGGATAATACTAAATCCTAGGAATTCTAGCTTTTTTTGAATACTTCCATCATGTATTTCCATCATAGTTTTTTAGAATACTATATACTTTTACTTTTGATATATAAGTCTCTCTATTTTAAGCATGGGCTCCATCATCTCTAACAAACTAAGAAGTGTGGTACGTATTTAAAATTATTACATTATTATCTAATGCTAAGCGCTTCAAAAACGTTTTAAAATATTCAAAGTAGTTCCTCCACATTAAAAAAACAAACAGCAACCATGAAAAAACATAATTGAAGCATAGGGATAAGAAATAATTAACAAAAATAACTAACGAACTTTAACAGTATGAAGAATAATTTCAGCGGCACGCATGAATTCTGTTTCATTACCCATAATAAGTAGTGTATCCAACGAGTCGATTAGCGTTAAGCTAAAGCTTCCCCATGTATCCATGCCTAAAGCGGGAATGTAGTATGCAGTTCAGTAAAAATAAGTACCGTACTAGCAAGATGCAACATTAAATTTCAGGGAGAGGTAAATATTTAAAGCTTTAAAATATTTAGTTTTAAATGTTTGGGAAGAAATAAAAAACAGTAATCTCTTCTCATTCCTCTTTCTGAAATTCCAATAAAAAAATTACCAATAAAATATTGAGCTCTAGCGCTATGTTATCTTACATATAGATAATCATATCAGTGCCGAATATTGCTTTCACAATTGGAATTTTTGCTTCTGCTAAAGATTAAATGAATTATCTACTCTGTAAAAGAATTTCCGTAAAATGACGTACCAAATTCTAAGACAAGAACATACCGGAACATGAAAGTGGTTTCAGTTCATCCAGTGGGTAAGCATGCAAAAGATAGCTGTTGTATGCATGATAAAACATTGCTTTCACCTTATCTCTACAATGAAATTGTTAGTAAAAACTTTACTCCTATTTACTCCTATAATGAATGTCAGTCGTGTGGTTGCTGAATCCGGGACTATTTTTCGCACAGTAACGTTAAGTCCTACATCAATAAGATAAGTGTGGCATTTAAAAACTATGAAAACATTGAAACGGCTGAAACAGAATTGCTTTTTCAAGGGTTCTAACTTCATTAAACAGTAACTACATGGATGCATCTATGTGACCTCTGAAATTCGGGATTTCCTCATGCATATATGTCTGAAGAGCCGATTACTTCTTAAAGTCGTTTGATGTATGACGCTAAGTGTAACAGCGAGATATTTCATATTGCAATGTTTTATCATAAACGTCCGAGGACACAAACATAAGACAGTCTTCCATTCTTGCAACAATGGCACGGATAACTGAATAGGTTAACAATTCGGGACTCTCATAAGATATACTTCAAATACCTTCAGTGAAATCTGATGGAATTACTTTTAGAAATAATTCAACTAAGTTTAAAAAATTAAATAATGCATGTCTTATCTAATAGACAGGATATATGTCATTGAAAAGAATATAAATAATAAAGCAATAATTTTAGCTAAATGAATTAAACTTACCGATATTTGTTCATTAAGCTGCGCGGAAAACTGACACATAGAGCACTGTTGAAGTAAAGCAGCAGAATGCATGACAGAAACAAGTGACAGAACAGTCTCATTGCTCGCAGTTTTTGTGTGTTGCAAGCATCCCTGCAATACCAAATCAGTACGGAATGTTTTCACTTTCTTTTCTGTTAAACAGACTAGTAGCGTTAACAACGACCAGAATTAGATGAAGTGATAATGCAAAATGATAACTTCCTTCAGAAGTGTGATCAATTCTGAAGAGTGGAGCGTTCCCCTTCTCTCCCTCCTATCCATACAATATCACTACTGCTAATGCACAAGATTCAGAATCATACACTATAAACACTCAAGGAACCAAACGTACACGTGCACATTCTCGTACGCACACACACACACACACACACACACACGCACACACACACACACACACACGCAGCACGTCACTATCGGCGAATGACTTATATTTCACAGGGCAAACGTGGTCCGTGAAGTTTGAAGTGCATCAAATAGAATTTGCTGACATTTTTATAGATGGAGTGATGGGTGTTATAGATACGGTTAGTTCCAGGAAGATATACAAGGCGGGATTTTCGGTAGAATGGATGACTTGTGAATGTGAAGCAATATACTTCATGTTTCATTTTATTCATTCTTAAAGAAATCGAATATGACAATATAATGATATCAGGTGACCGGCAGGAGTAACCCCGTGGCTATTGAAATGGAGAATAAGGAGTAGCCGTTGGCTATTGAAAGAGAAGGAAAGAGAGCGTCTGTGATTGTTTGTGATGGACGAAAAGGAAAGGGATATGGAGCTTTTTTGATGAGTTGGACAAGTGATATTCCATGGGACGGAGATTTGGATTCTGTCACGGTGGAAACAATGGAAAGTTCACTTTCTTATTTACAATCATTCATTTACATTCTCCGCACTATCTCCATGACAATATGACCGTACCATTGCATTATAGCATATGAATTTTATGGCCATATTTGCATATCAAATACAGGAAAACGGTTCCCGCAGATATACCAATAGCTTGCAAAGCGGTTGATCGAATACTTCTTTTCAAGTCCACTTTGATTTGCTCGTTTATCGAATCACGAATTTCCGGGATCTACAAATTTCGTTAGTTTTATTTGGCTGGAAAATTTATCAATTAAACTCCCAAATGGATTCAGAGAATAAGCGAGAAAAACAGTAGGAGGAATAAGTTCGTTGAAATGTTTTCATTTTACATCAGAAACAACAAGCTAAGGGTCAACCAATCGAGATGGTTAGTAGGAAGTTTTAAACAAATTAAGCAATGTTGGAGGAAGGTGAACAATAAAGTGACGAATTTTCAGTGTGAGCATAGAAATCACTCACCAAAGTACCAAGAAAAACATATAAATACATTCCAGACGATACGGCGAAGACATAATTTCCATAAGAATCATCTACATTACCAATTAATACACCAACTACAAAGCCCAGATAACTAAGCAAATTCGGGAATAGATTTAGTAAGAGAGTTCTTCTGAATCCAAGTCCTGACTGAATTAAAATTGCCAGCGTTCCTGGAACTTAGTTTAGTTCTCGAAATACGAATGGTTAAATATAATCTCCTGAAGTAAAAGTTATATTTATTGAGGGTTATAAAGGCTTAACATGCACCTGGGTAGAACATACGGTAATTTGATATCGAACAAAAAAAGGAAAAATGTGCTAATTAAAAACCAACAAATACCGATCTCTTGTGGAAACTGTTGAGTGATTACTGCAATACCCACTGAAAAACCACGTGCCAAGGAATTCGCAAATGCAGCACCGTTGCTCATACCATCAACGAAATTGTTCATGAAGCTACCGAACATTATCATCCAGGCGACTGTGGTTATATCGAGTTTTGATGGATCTAGTACCTTTTCTTCTACTATCTCCACATTTACCGACACCTCGTCATGTGGATTATTCTGCATTTATAATGCCACTGACATACAGGTTTTATTGAACAATTTTGAAATTTGAGAACCTTCTAATTTAAATTTGAATAAAAAATAATTTGTCAATGAAGTAGTCCTACAAATCAAAGTTTCGGCTTTGAGCTATGTATATCAGCTGTTTCAGGACCCTATTTTTCAATTTCAGGAAATGAAATTTTAAAACCACTTTATCCGTGATTATTAGTCACAAATCAAAATTAACTTCTGAAATTAATCTGCTAAATTATATTTAAGTATACGTAAAGTCATTATTATATTTTTTCCTAACGATTACTATTGATTTCTACTGATATGGAGAAAAAATACATTTTTACGGTATGAACTGTGTTTCATTGAACCATTGTTGTCATCCAGGATTGTTAATACAGTCGTCTGACGTTTGCATGACATCTGGAAACCCTAATTTTTATGACATTGTTAGTATCTGATACCTATCACTCCGGTGAAATTCGCTTGCATGTTGTCTCAATCTCAGTAATTCAATTTGTTTTATTTTTACTGTCGTGAAAATGCATAAGAATAGATTAGAAGAAAAATTCATTTCACGCCCTCGCCAGTTTTTTTTCTGAATATGAGTAAATTCAAAAATTTTTAGCGAAGAAAAATTCATAGTTTAAGAATAAGTCAAACTGACCTTCCTTGAAAGTATGTTACTGACCATCGCGGCTTCAAATTCACTCTGAAATGCCGGACGTTCAAACTCAAACTAGACAAGCCGGACGTTTTTTCATTCATATTTAAATAAATTACAATAAACATTTAGGATATCGGCCGAATAATTTCTTAGTAGCCTTTTTCTTAGTGGTCTTTTTTCTCAGTAGCCTTTTTTCTTTTTTTTTTTTCATTTGATATACAATTCACTCATTTCCAAGTTTTCACGGGAAAATATAACACCTGTATGCGTACCTTTAAATGGTCCTTGTCCAATTCATAGTATTCCGGATCGCTATCTTCAGTACTACCGTTATTTTCGGATGTCACTACAATCCGAGGTACCACAAAGTTGTCTTCTAGTACTGTTGCATTATTGATCTTTCTGTCTCTTTTCATAATTTTGTCCAGTGTTGACTGATGAACCTTTCGTCCTTTCAATCGGATCTTTGTAATTTCATGGATATTTGATTTCTTTTTAGCAATTTCGAAAACAACAAAATCACAAATTAGCCGTGGTATTAATTACAGTCTTATTGGATGAACACAGGTTGTTAAAAGTGAGTTCGATGAGCATACTATGAAGTTATTTGCTAAATTTAATTATTTATACTTTATTTTCATATTAATTAAAAGAATCATATCTCCATAAGTCATAGAAAATTCAAACCAATTAAAATACTGGAAATTACAGATTACTTTTCGGAAATGCACAACATAAGCTAGAATTCGATCCACGGAAAAAAACGCATACAGCACCACCAATAATACGGAAACGTTTGTCCTGCAATAACCTTGTTCCACGACATTTAAACCAAGTGCCTGGAAATAAGTCTTGGCTTTTACTTCTTACCCAGGAGCCGATATTCCAGCTTTTTCGATGCTTTGTTTTAGAACTTCCTAATTTTGCCCAGTAATTACTTTTAAATTCTAGGAACTATCGCTCTAGATAACTGTCTCCTCTTGAATCTTGCAGTAGGAATGAAAGAACGCACTCCCGGTAAAAGTACGTATAATGTTGAACCGGAAAGTGTTCCAATGCCGAATGCCACTAATAATGTCATAAAGAGTTCATAAAGCGTTTTGTTGAGAAATGGCACAACGGTGATACAAATTGAGGGTCCGAATGCCGTGATCGTTACTACGATTAGACCAATGCCCCAAGCTGAAATTAATAATTTTATAGGGTTCAAGCATAATGCCATTGTGAACCAATGTATTCCGAGTTGCGATCAATTTCAATGGTGTCGTGGAGAATCGATCCTTCAACTCAACATTAAATTTGTTTAATCATTCAACAAACACTGAGGGAACTTCTTGAACAGTTACAATTCAAACTTTAACTTTAAAAATCAAATTTTTAGATAATTAAAAGTTTAAGATTTCACAAACTTTGCCAGATAGTTGGCTTTGGATCTATCATTGTATATGTCTCCGTTTCATTCCCAAAATCCATTAGCGACATCAGCGAAAGCTTCTAAAAACTGAGAGATCCACGGAAGGCACAATTTAAAATTTCTGACTGGATTGAATTTCCATCAACAGATTAATCACTGCACTTCAGGTTATCATGATTGTCATTCTGCTTTGCTCCCGTAACATTTCTTACTTTGTGTGGCTTTGCTCATTGATACTTTTAAGAAAATCTTTTCTTAACGAAAGTGATATAACATTTACTTACAAATATCATAAATTTTGAATTAAAACGATTCAGATTCATGCAGTTCAACAAATTTCACATCTTGCTGTGAATTTCTTGTTGAATTTTAACTGAAAATTTCTTGTTAAATTCTTAATTAAAATTCGAGTACAGACGTCATTGTATCTTAAGAATTCCAATTATTAATTCCTCATATGCGAATCTTAATTTGTTGAAAATTTCAGCTACATCTTCATCTACCCAAATAATCAAATGTTTCAGTCTTTAAGTAAAGCGCGGTACTGGAAGTATAAGCCAACATCGAAATGCATTGATTTGCAGTAAAAAAAAACCTGCCCAAAGTAGTGGTTTCTAATTTTTGAGCTTCTTATGTTTGGTTGACTTTTAGGTTGCTTGAAAAGCTCTCAGGGATTCCTTATCATCCTGCTTTAATAAAGCTTTGAATAGAATTATGCAAAATTCATTAGAAGCCCAGCAATTAATTTCTTTTTCCTGAATCAATTTGAAATTCTTTAGCATTTGCTGAAAAAAGTTGAGAAGTGAATTAAAAATTATGAAGTAAAAAGTTACTTAATACGAAATTCTGTTATCTCTTTGCAAGTGAAACAAACATTCAATTGATGAAATGCTAAAAAAGAGGAAAAAAGACAAAACTTTTCAGATAAGACATTGTAAATAATATTGTTTTCTTGAATAAAATTTGAAATACTTATTTTATAATCAGAAAAAAACTTCGCGATTGAAAAAGTAAAGTATTTATTCAAAAATTTCAAAAATATTTGATCTTTACTGCATTCAAAACAATCTTTCGTTAGGATTTTCTTTGGAATAATTCAAAATAAAGGTTTATTATTGCTACAAAAAAACAAAGGAATGGAATGATAACGGATACATTTGTTATCAATCGATGCTTCTGTACTTCAACTACTATTTATTCAGCGGACTCCATCTTGGTAATTAGGGCCGGTGGGTACTTCTTCAGGCTTTTTCTCTTTTACAATGTTTACACTGCTTCTGTGGCCTTACCAACAAAAAATTCAGCTGAGCCATGACAAATTTAATAGAAAATAAAAAAAACAACCTTCCTTCTAAAATTGAACTTTTTGATATAAATTAAAAAGTGTTTTCAGAAAGAAAAACAAGAAATTAAACAAAAAAAAAAGGAAAAGATAAGATCTCAATAGTGCAGATCTTCCCTTCTCTTTCATTTTGCTGGTTTTCCGAAGCGAGTAAAAAATAAGCAAAATTTTCTGGAGTAAAATGTTTAGCACTAGAAAACACTTGTATAATTGAAGAAGAAATTCAAGCGTTTCCTTTCCAGAGCAGGAAATCTTTTCAGGAATTCTTGAAAATTTATAATTAAAAGAGAAAAGAAACGCTTCCGACAATAGATCAATGGAATTATTCTAAAGTTCTATCACTTTATATCAAAACCTAATCAATCTTCTGAAAGTTATAGGTATTTTTAGATAAAAAGGTCCGAATAATTAGAAGTATCTTTTGAACAGTGACTTGATTAGTTACACCATTAAATGGTACCAACGTGAGCAGACTTATTTCAATGAAAGTAAACATATGAAGACTAGAAATAAGACTACCTCTGAGAGTGACAAAAGAGGACTAAATTTTGTGAATGAGGCGAAAGTACCAGTTTTATAATCGGTACCGCCTACAATCTCCTTCAATCTGCTATATTTGGGAGTTGTTTTCTTCGAATTTTCTAAAAGTCATCAACTTATTCGCTCTTTTCATAAACAAAGCTTCCACATGAATTTGCATTCACAGAAAGATTACAGACTAAATATTAAATTACTATTTCACTTTTTACGTTGCTTAGAAAATTATATAAATTGCAAATATATTTGAATAAAATAAATTGGAATTGTTTGAAATTATCAAATTGAAAACTTAAAATATTACTCACAAATGCTATGAATTATGTAATAATAGATTCATTTAAAATTTATTAAAAAACGATTGATTTGATACGGAAGACAATGAAAACATTTTTATTTGATTCAAAATGGCATTTTGAAATGAGATTTAATCTCTAATAGATGTTGGCTTCAGTTTCTGATGACTGCGAAAAAAAAAAGAAAAGAATCCTTGCTTGGGAAATTTCATTTTCAGATATGTATCTGTAATCAAAATAAACAAAAAAAAGCTAATGGAGAAATTTATTGAAATAAAAAAATAACAAATATTAGTAACAAATAACAGAAAAAATAACAAATATTCAATATCTAGCGTTAAACAAATATACTTCATTTTGAATTATACAAATTTCTCTATCTCTCAATGAAAATTTTTCAAAAATAACTCGAAGTAAAGAAAACTCACAGTATCGTCATCATTTAATTCAAGCTACTCGGTGAACCCAAGAACAGTAACAGGAGAGGAATTTGACTCAGGTGGCATCTATCGAAATGTAATGCGGATATTACATGTCACACTCACACGAAAAAAGATTACAGAATCAGTAAAACAACTTTAATCCATCCCAGGTAACAAAAGAAACAATTTTGTTAAATTCAGAGTTTTCATGGAACTCATATAGTAATATTCGAGAAAATGTAGTCATATCATGATCGGAATAGATTTTGGACTAAATCATCAGATAGCTGAGAATTTAGTTTCATTTACTGTTCAAAATGCAAGTCTACCAGACATGAACATTTGTGTTCAGAAAAAAACAGATGAACTTTATCACATTTAAAAAGTTACTGTCGGTCAATCATTAGCTATGGTACAACCTAAATGTCTAACAGGTGAAAGTAGGTAGGACAGTTAAACACTTCAGAATTCAGTCCTATAATTGAATGTAATATTTTAAAAATTTTGAAACACTGTATGTTCTAAGAAAGAGTTTTGTTAGCATAATATATCTAAAAAAGTTTGATTAGTCGTTATGAGAGAATCACAGAGAAGTTTAAATTCAAAGCATTGAATCCTATTGAATTAGAGCGGTTTGTGAAGTGTTGACGACAGTGCTCAATAAGAAACAAATTATCAAATCTGCTCATCTCAGTTTAAATCTTAATTATCTTAATTGTAAATTTTATGGATTTCACGACATAGCCTTTCTTTTCTTTCATCTTTGACACTTTCTGGAGACAGAGCAGAGACAATAATAATGCATTCAATATCAAGCTGATTGATAGCTTTCATGGTGAATTAATGACATTTGAATTAGCTGAGATTTTCTAACTTTTTTGAAACTTTTGCAAGTTTTCTACATTAATATTTCTTTTAAAATGAAGAAGAGATTTTAGTAGTATTAGCATCGCTTAATATCTCGCGAGTCGCCTATTCACAACCGTAACTAGACAAATGCGATGCTAACAATTAAATTCCAAATAGTTCTACAATACTGTACAACTTTTTAGCTATGCGAATACGGTACTTCTACTGCTCATTAATTAAATTTTTTTAATTAGTTTTCGTGAACTGGAAAAGGAGAGTAAATTCACAAATAAAAAAGTAAGGAGGAGAAATTGGAGGGCACCATAACAGCGTAACGAATTCTAGGCAAGATTCCTGTAATTGCTTGGTACTGTTGACAATCATGACGCTGTGAAAAGTATTTGAAAAATTTCTGGAGATGAATAACAGCGCTATTTGTTTTCTACCATAAGCTTCAGCATTGCTTATTTGCAAATTTTTCATACTTCTCTTATTTCCAACTACTAATATAATAATAAGAACAACCTCGGAAACGTAAACCATATGCTATCACAACGATTCATCAGCCAAGTGTAGTACCCTTATCAGGTTGAAGTGATAAGCACACATTTGTTTTGTCATGCAAATTTCCAAATAGAATGTGCAATGATAATTAGAGAGAGGATTGGCAATTAGCATCGAGGGTCTGGATACTGTATGATACATATCTTGTAACATTCTTGTTTAGTTTCAAATTAATGCTTTATTTCCACTTTAGTAATTTACCGTTAAAGTTAAATTTTAGTCATAAAAACCTAATTGCTGAAATTCGTTATATGCATTGAATGAACAAGACAGAAAATTGAATTATGCTTGCATTTCTGAAAAATCATTTCCTTCTGCTTTAGTAAGTATTGATTGGTATTAATTAAATTTAAATTTTACCACATATTTTTTAAATGCAATATCCTTTTATAAATTCTAAAATTTTGTCCAGTTGCTCGCTTCTTACAATACCGCCTTTCGAATGATTTATCATCCTCTCTGATTCATCGATTTTTATGGAATTAAAATTTGAAACTATTATTGAACATATAAACACAGAGAACCTCGTACATACACAGGTATACATATATGCACAGGTACACACACACACACACACACAGACACACACACACATATGCACACTTACCTCCGCATTATCTTTCAACATTTTTGACGTAACCATGGTGTCGCTCTCCGGTGTCATTTATCCTCTCTCGGGCCAGGTGGTTGCCCATCTATCTTTTCAAGTTTCTCTCAGTAATTCATCGATTTTTTTACCAATTCCTATACACTTTCACTGTTCTGAGAAGCTTTCAAACAGGACAAATGTAAGATACATACATATACTAAGTGACACACACACACACACATACACAACTCTTCGAGTCTCTGTGGTACGAAAGCTTCAGGAAGAGCGCATAAGGTAGAAGAAAGAAGGATTTTTGTTCGATCAAGGTACATCCATTCTTTCTCGTATCCAAAATATAATGAGGGAATTTCAGCAAGGCAAAAGATTACCAGAAATGCACCAAACGAAGGAAGGTTCCTTTGAGTTTCTCTACATTGGATGCTTCTTTAAATTTTCATCGGGAAACTTTTCAGACAGATACATCCCAATTTTCGATGTCTTTGTCATTTGTTGCTACATTTTATATGTTTTGCTATCATTTTAAAAGAATTTTATCACTTTTTTTTTAAAAAAAAGAAAGAAAAAACGACATCAGTCGTTCGAAAGTATTTATCAGCCAGAATTTCAATAATACTCCTTGATATTTGTCTAAAGATTCCTCATTTATTCATTTAAAATGTCAACGAGATCAACCATATCGCTGATCAGAAATTTTGTCATGTTCAACTAAATGCCTTCACGTATCATAAATTTTCAACATATTTCTCTGCTGGTTCCAACTGTTGGAAATAAAGGATCTGTAGGACCACCAATGATCTAATTATAAAATTCCATGGATAATTTAACGGTATTAAACTTTAAAAAGGTATTAGAATTCTTTTCTTAGCGCAGCATGAAAGAAGAAATGCGTTTTTTGAAGGTCATAGTTTCGCATAACTCATCGGATATTTACCCGTTATATGGAAATGGTGAAAGTAAAGTGAAATTCTTTTAGAAAATTATTGCATTTATAGTTACCAAACATATCAAATTGTTGTGCATAGCAACGGGTCTTCCGGGGGTTATCTCAAAAGGTGTGTTGTACATAGAGATAATCGTATCGATTGGTGCTTCAGTATCTCTAGTATTTTCTTCCCAAAGTGTATGTTGTTTATGAATGTTAAATAATAATCGATGGTTTGATTTTCCATAAAATCTGTTTGTATAAAATTACAACACCACAGCAAGACGCGACACGACAACTTCGACATGTTTGACAAGAGGCTCGATGTTCTGCTGATTGATCTTAGGTTTTAACGCCATTGTAATTTATGCCTAATAATATTTCGTATTGATCTGATTTATGTTGTAAATTAATTGTCCACAATTTGAGAGATATGTCTGAATTGATCACTTATAATTGATACTCTAACCTGACTCATATTTTCTAATTTAAACTATCATTTGCCTTTACTACGAAATGGTACTATCTGATTTATCACTTTTGAGTTTTCTAACCGCATGTTACTTTTTTCCAACACAGCAAAGGAATGGTCTGCCATCCAAATGTTGTATTACGATATCAACACATGTAGCGTTTTCGTTTATCTCATCTTCTATTTGTCTTAATATTGCCACTTTGATAACGGTCGAAATCCGGATCTCATCAACAAACGAGCAAGCAAGTACATTGAAAGTTCTGCTGGTGTATAACCGAACAAATCTAAATAACTTAGACCTGCAAAATTCGTGGCGAAATTTTAAATTAACTAGATGGTCTGTACCCTCTTGCGCTGTTTAACTATTTTGGAATTTTATTATTTCGAAAAAAGATGATGACTCGTGATGACTCATCCTGATATTGTTTAGCTTCCTCTTTCAAGTCAAATGGGTATACGAACAATCTTGCAGTGATCATTGTTGTCAGCACCCATCGAAATTCAACATTTCCTTTCATTAAACAAGCCAAAAGTGATGTCGTTGACTCATCCACATTCCAAATGTCCCATTTGTCCACATCTTATCTAATCCGTTACAAAGTAATCCATGAACTTGTCATTTTTACATTTTATAATTCAAAATATTATTTTCATAAGTCTTTAGTTGGATAATACGAAATATTAACCAGTCCATTACATGTTGACAAGTAATTCAATTATAATATAATTAATTGTCCGTTGCCTTAGATAGTGCTTTAAATCAAATCAGTTTTCATATGCTTAAAGTGCTATTTCAGCTATAATTCTTCAGATATTTTTGAATGACATTATGTGACATACAAGAACAATGTAAAACTTATGATTATAAAGAAGAAATTTTGTATGAATTTGTTTTTGAAAGTTTTCATTTCTTCTAAAGTGGAGGAATTCTTTCTGTCAAATGTATAGCTATCACGCTGTGACATTTCATGACAGAACAGTGTATAAATTTGAAAGTGAATAATGAGGATGAGGAAGAAGAAACGCTTTCTATTCACCAGTGATTTAAATTTAGGTCATTTCGATTGACCATCATTGAGGACATACCTTCCCACCTCGTCATCCTTTGTCGCACCACCTTTCTATTCATTTTCACATTGAATATTGCTAACAATGTAAATTTCATTACGAATTTTGAAATTATCGATCGATTTAGATGATGATAATCTACAAGAATTACTTTCTAACCAGACGACTTTTTCTTCATTGTAAGACTCTCTTCTCAATCGTAAATATTTTCTACTCTTAATAATTACTTGGATTTGTCTTTTCTTGTGATTAATTTCCTTTGAGAATATCCCACTCTTTTCGTTGTCCAGAATGCTGAATATTTAATGCGTAAGTATGATCGCACTGAAGAATGAATATCGATAATGATAAATTGCTGAATCTACATCTGATATTCTATCTGGTACTGAATCTACATCTGATATTCTACCTGGTACTGAATCTACATCTGATATTCTACCTGATACTGAATCTACATCTGACCTGATACTGAATCTACATCTGACCTGATACTGAATCTACATCTGTGAATGATTCTACTTGATATTATTATTGATTTGTAAAATGAGTATGTTCAAAATTCCAATCCGATCGGTACGCTGTATGATGAATTATTCACATGACGAAATTTTCTGTCAAATTCTAGGAAATCATTCATGTAGTGATTTTAGAAATTTTAATGAAAATTTTCGGTTATTTTTAGGATTGATATTGATTAACTCACATTTGGCGTTATTTGCCAATCGGTGGGGCGGAAAGTGCCAGGAAATGGGCAAAATTCATATATCCTTAAAATAATTGATAATGTCGTTTAGCAGTACTGCTTATTAATGAATACATATGCCGGCTGCAATAGCATATGATCATTGTATGTAATCTTTTCCGGATATAATATCTGTTTTATAAGTTTGGACTTTTTCGGAAACTTCCCTAAAATTTTTTAACTATTTTTTAAAAAGTGTTACATCTCTTTGGTAGATGTTCAGACTTGAAATATGCATAAATTAGATCGAATCAATCGGAATATGATGGAGGAATTTAGGATAGATGATCGTTGCTCAATGGGATATTTTATCGTTTTATTGCATTTGGCCTATTTATCAATATCACATTTTGATCTCACTAACTGATACGGAAATGATCAAATAGCTAGTGATAAATTAAATTGGCCTTGAAATGAAAATAGAGATATAACTTTCCATAACAGTTGAATTCTCTACATGATTTGATCCACAGACGTACAAAATATTTTCCAATATGATGAAAAATGAAAAAAGAAAAACTGATGAGATTGAATGAGGTGTGAATAAATTGAATGACATTCCAAATTTTGGCAATTATTCTTTTCAAGAAATGTCCAATAAAACAATTATTTATTGATTTCGATAAATGAGTTGAATAATGTTTCGGTCCAATGTTGAGAAGAGGTGGTACTGTTAATGAAAATGTAACTTTTTCAAATTGAAATTTACACTTCGAAAACAAAGTATTTAATGGTATTCTGTGTTATTCGTCTTCTTTGTCACCAAACAAGCAATCAAAGGAGACAAAAAAAAACAAGGGATGAAATGTGGAAGTACGTGTATCGAAAAAGAAATATCAAAAGATATTTAGGAAGAATGTGATATTCGAGAAATTAGTTCTATTCTTTCTTTTGCTTCAGTGAAAGATGGCAAGATTGTTAGAAAATTTCTAAAGTTTCCATTATTTACGCCACAAGTTTTTATTGTTTCTTATTTGCATAGCATTTTTGAACTATGCTAATGTTATTGTTGTTTTAAAATGACACCTATCAGTTCTTACTATTTAATATAGATGTCTTTAGCTACTTACACTAATGTCGCTCTTCTAACAATCTGACATTTGAAGTTTGAAATTTGAAAATTTTAAAAGAGATAAACTAGAAAAACAACGTGTAAACGTTTACAACAAACATAATGGTTTAAAATATAGATTTTTCCATACTGTTTTTGCATATTTAAAATTCAAAAGCTTAAAATTTCAGCGTCGAATATGCCAAAAGTGAGATAGTAAGATAACTTTTGTTGTCATTGCTGATTTGTTGTCATTGTTAACAATGGTTTGAAATTCCTTGCATTTTCAAAACTCTAAACATTCACGTGATCTGAATTGAAAATAAAACTGATCGTAGTACCAATCAGCTGGTACCCTGGTCAACCTTATTGAGAAATACTTGTTCAACTTATTATTTTTGCAATTATCGATGGAATTTCAATATCAATGCACTTTTTGCTCGTAGAGACGATCGAAAAAAATCAAAAAATTCATCATCGTTAATTTTTTTCGTTGATTCTTGCGGTCACTTCATCACTGTCGTTGTTTTGTCACTGATGGCACTAATTCAATCATTATTTTGAATTTGCCGTCATTTGTCCTGCGATTTGCATTTAAATTGTTTGAAATTTCGGCGCCAGTAATTATCTGCAAAAAAAATCAAATTTAAAGATTTCAGAAATTTCGTCGAATTTCATCTACTGCTGCTATTGATGTAATGTTTACCGAAATAATTCATTTCATCCACTCTATGTAATATTGATTTTTGCTGCTCGCACAATCTACGATCTCATCAGAATTTTGACAGAAAAGTTCATTTAAATTTTCATGACATATACTTTTGCATCTGATCGTGTGACTTTCAATTTCAATATCGCGTCAAAATATGTGAAAGAAGGGAATTCGATCTGAAGATAAAGATAGCCGTTATTCGAACTACGCAATTATTTCTACTTCTTTTGGTCGAATCAGAGTGAGCTTTAATGTCCTTTGTTTTCAAATTTTTATGCGATAAATCTTTTTAAATTTCTATGTAAGAAGTGTCAAATGATTGTCTAAAGTTATAATATTTGTAGACATATTGGCTTAGTTTAAAAGTAAGCATTTAACTTTCAATCGAATTAAATCCCCAGATCTCTCTCATTTAGTTTATGGTAACAAATGTTCCTTTAGGGCTTTCATATGTAAAAAAATTTGAAGAAAAATTCTCAGCTATAGATAAAGTTATCATTTACAATTCACATAAATTTATACAAATTCAGTAATTTTATTATCTGCATATTTCCCTTTCTATTTTAATCTCTTCATTTTTCATTTCTCTTCTCATATTCATCCAACAAACCTTTTTTTTCATCCAATGTGGAGAATTTTTAAAATTTGATTTAGACTGAACAGTTTATTTTCAAGTTTGTAAATGATCGATAATGTAAGTTTGTATTGGGCATTTCAAGAGTGCATCATTGTTGAAAAATCACATATCCGTTTCAATACTTCATCTAGAGATGGCAATGAGAGTTCCTCGAGAACATACAAAGTGTAAATTGAATCCCAAATCATTGCAATGCACAGTTATTGCGCATTTCAAATTTTAAATTAAATGTATCCGAAATTTTCAAACTTTTTTAACGAACCACTTTCCTCCCTCAATTTTCAGCATCTCATGTATATTTTTATGCAACGAAAAATTTCTTTTAAAAATTAAAATTTTAAAATAATCTAGAATTTAAGTTTAATTTTTCTGAAATTAATTATCAATGAAATTTAATTTTGAATTGGACTCCAGTCAATTACACTTAATTTCGAGTGTTCATTAATTGTCTATTGTTTCGAAAAGCTCTTATTTACATTAATTTATTTATTTTTTCTTCGTTTTGATCAGGAATTACAAATTTACTTAAACATTGTGTGATATTCATGGAAGGAAAAAAAGCTTTGCCTGAAGTATTTTCACATACTGTTAGAATTTAATTTGGAATTTAGAAGTGAAATTTCAACTTGAATTTTCATTGTCACTAACAACTAAATGTTACTGGATATGATTGAAGGTCAAATGGGAATCACCGAGTCATCTCTTTTCAGCTGGTATACTCCACTGATGTCAAAACCGGTATTTAAGTATTCGAATAGTGCTGAGATACTGAACACAGCAATTGAATGAAAAGTTATTTGGCCCTAAGTTTCAGGTTAAGGCTTAGTTTCGGATTAGTATTCGTTCTTTTCGGTATTTCCATTCCTCCCACAGTACTTTTATTTTATGAAAAGTATCAAACTGTTTGCGACAAAATGATTCTTTTATTTGTTTTAACTTTTGTTTAACTTACTTTTAAGTTATTGAATATTTAACGACGAAATGTATCAATTCGATATCAAAAAGACTTTTTTAAATTAAAATATGAATAATCTTCAAGGCATTAATCCTATGCTGAAGAGAAGTTATCGGTATATCGAGATTATTCCTTGTAGATTATTAAATGTACATCTGAAATTAAACAGAAGAAAGCATAGTTATGTCAACAAGATATAGACGTGTACTTTTTGGGAGATCACCCAAATTCCTTCAGTTAACATCATTCATGTTGTCGTACCTTCATCCTAGATATATGTAAAATTAACTGATACTTTTTGTTTCCTTCTCTTCTCTTAGATTACCTATGTATAGTAACATTCCCATATTCATCCGGATTTCATACCGGTAAGGCTGGAATACTTCTATCTTCTGAGTTCTGACATTATTTTCAGAAGGTTGCTATTACTGTTACTACTTTAAATGATACTATTATTTTAATTTTTATTGTTCCTTACTGATCATATAGACTATTAGATTATTATCTTTGTTTTTGTTATTGCCATTACTGTGTGCGCAAATGTCCTTTCAGTGGTCAAAGATGCTTATTGTAATTAGAAAATATATTATTGTGAAAAGTGCGCAAGTAATTCAGATCTCACAAAAAGAACCATACTGTACATCATTGTCATTGCCATCGTCATCAGCTAAGTAGACAGTGAACTGATCAATCACTCCTGCCAACATTTACTGTAAAGTGATGCTTCCAATTGCATGTGTATTTACGAGTAGGTGTGCGTGTGTGTTTCTGTCTGTCTGTCTGTATGTATGTATGTGTGTATGATAAGGACCATGTAAACCGGTTTTTGAATAACACCTTAGTCTTAGGCAGATGTGTTACGGAGGGACAAACGGATGACAACGAAACGAGCGCAAACTCAATGATTTTAATTTTCATAGCTTTTTTTCTTTTATATGGAAAATTATTGAAAACAATATCCTCGTTATATTGCTGTGTTATTGTAATTAATGTTAGACTAAATCAAGAAGTGTCTAAGAAAAGGACAAAGATTTTTCTACCGGAGAAACACAAAGTTTTTTCTGTTTTCTATGTGCTAAATCTATTTGTTGCTTCCGGAATTCATCTTTTCCTATGTCTTTTAATTTAGTTTTCTTGACATTTTAATTAAAATAATGGAAAGTTCTTAATTTCAAAAAAATTTAAATAATTTTAATTACGTTGACACGATATTGTAACCGATAATTTCAGTTTTCCTTCTAAAAATTTAAAACATTAATGAAAATTTTTGCAGTGAATTTAGATGGGGAGTACGACGGTACAAAAAGGATTACTAGCAATAAGCATTCTGTTAACTATCATTGGTCTTGGATTTACTTTTGCTGGCGTATTTTCACCAGCCTGGCAAATAGTTGACATCCGTGAATTTCGAGCCGAACATCAAGTAAACTTTGTTGTTTTTTTTTCTATGTTGATAGAGCATGTTATCATTAGTTTTAAAACTGAAGAAAAATCAACCATTGATCACTGATAAAAGCATTTATTCAGTATCAGTACTGATATTTCACCAATCTTCCCATCCCCATTCCTCCTTCGACCATATGTTCAACTGCTTTACTTTCGAAATAGCTAAATTTTTTAGCATAGTTTAATGAAATTGAGGTATTTCCTTTTAGGTCATGCTTTAGAATTGGTTTTCAAATTTTCAGAATGAAATTAACTGAGTCATCTCAGTGAATATTTCTTCATGGCCTAAATTTTATTCAGAAACTTTAAAAAAGTCGTTCATATAACTTCTACTTGTGTTTCCTTTTTCTTTATGCCAGTGAAAAAGTTGATAATTGGTGTTTACTTCTATCATTAAATTTCGACTTTCTCCATTTAATCAATTTCCATCTTCCTTTCCCAATGATGATTCATTCCAGTTTAATTTATTCCATCATCTGTTGTGATTAATTACACGGAGAAATTTTTAGCTGATAAATGAAATATTATTAGAAATTCAATATTAAGCGCTAACTTTGAAATGTGTAGTGGCAATTTAAAAAATAACGAAATTACTAGAAGTAAGTAATGGTTAATGATAGACAATTGACTGATTTTTTGAGGAATACTAAATGTCGCGAGTTATTCGCGAATCTTATGATTGATCAAAAAACGTTCTTTGCAATGTGTTTTTACCTTTCCATTCAAATTATATCCAAACTTGTCAAATAGTATTACATTCAAGCTTGTCAGATATTCCAAATCAAAGCAGTTGTCCTTCTATTAACCTTTTATTAGTTTACCTGGCCAGTTGCTTTTTCTGATTTCATTATACATAAGCATACTTGATAAATTTAATTCAGAATATTAATTAGAGTACTAATTAAGCACGGACTGTGGTGGGATTGTACTCGAGCAGAGAAACATGTTGTTGCAGTGGCTGATTTCTATGCTGAAGAACCATTGCACTGCATGTATAAGTTCGATCATAGCGCTGCAATGGTCATCGAGAATACTCTAAATAATGTTGATGAAGATGGAGCTGCTGGTGAATCTGAGCATCATCGATTTAGGGGTATTCCTTCTTCATTCTTAAAATTTAAAATCTTAATTATCAATATGGTTAGGCCTCAAACGGGCCAAGAACACATTTGAGTGTAATTAACCATTCACCGGAAATTACCCTACTTTGTTTTCTCCGATCCTTATCAGCACTCAGATACAGTAATCTCTGTAAATTGTGGGATAATTCACATTTTAAGATATCCCTTATTGGATATAGAAACTGTTTGAAATCGATGAAATTATCAGTATCAGTTGATCTGATAGGTTTTCATTTCAGCATGGCATAAAGCAATCCTTTTTTTCATTCTCTTTTCACAGTTCCTTGCATTCATCTCAATATGTACCGGAGTTTGCATACCTTGTTTTCGACCTACGGCATTTGTTTTCACCACTTCACTTTTCTTAGCTTGTAAGTTTTTTTTCGCCAAATTTCATTTGAAATTTAAACTTCGACCCTTTCAAAATACCGTAAAATAGATCCGGATTAATTAATTAAGCTTGTGATTAAGTTAATTATAATTCAATTCGAGTTACTTGAAATCTATTCATGTGCTAAATGAACACATTTTTTACAATGTTCCCATATTTTATTCATAATTAATGACACTAGCATAAACTGTATTTTGAAATGTTTACAATTCCTAAACAATGTTACGTTGCGAAAAGTTTTGGTAATTATTAAACAATGCGAATAAGTTTAATTGAAACAAAATTAATTATCATCCATTGAATTTTAATTGTCGTAGTGCTATGCTCATTGATTGCTGATGGCGTTTTCTTCCTGGCGGCAAACAGAGTGGACAATCGTTTTGTGCAGGGAATGGTTGGCAGCTATGAAGTTAGTTTTCAATCTTTCTAATTTTACCTCCAATAATTAAAATGAACTGGTAGATCCTGCCGCTGATGCTGATGAAATTTCACAGCATTTCAGATCAAAACCGTGCTTGGGTTGAATTTTTTTTCAAGAATCCCAAATCCATATTTAAAGTTTGGAGTTTCTGAAAAAAAAAAAAAAAACCATGTCTCCTGAATACAAAAAGCAATGGTAACTAGTTGGATTTCCATTTCCTGTATTCCACATTTGTGAGTTTTCTAATTAAATGCAATTTTTTATTTCTCAAAATTTAATATCAAACTTTAAAATTTAACCTGTCCCCAGTTATAATACCTGCTTCGTATTTCAGCAGCGGATCGGTTACGCTTTTTATGTGCATCTGATCGGTACATTATGTTGGATAGCCTCTTTTCTGTTCGCCATGTTAACCACCTACAAATTTTTCACGGAACGGTATTCTTCTCGGTGAGAATTTTTTGCATTTACTAAAGTGTTCCGCAGTTGATATCTGTGATTTGAATGATACTATCGCACATTACTTGAAATGAATCCATATTAAGCATAGTTTTGATAAATTCAAATAGCCTTTTTTTGGAATTTGCTTTGTCCATATGTTTCCGGTTGAGATATTAAGTTGGATATTTTTGGCCAAATTAAGCAAATCGCTAGTCTTATATTTTTCAAATGAGTTGATACTTCTAATAACTGTTCAAGCGATGTCAACTTTATCACTGCCCTCATGACGTTTTTAGAAGCATACAGAGTCAATATAACATCTTGTAGGCCAATAACATTTTTACCGACACTTTTCGCGATCGAATTTTTGGCTATTCAGAATAAAAAAATATGTGGATTTGAAATTTTCAATTCTAGTTTTTTCAATTACTCTGCTGCACTTATGCTCGTTAGACGGAATCCTTTTATTGTCAATTTGTCAAACTTCCATGACAATAACTGATGTTACAACGTATACTTTGTCTGCAATGCAAATTTATCAGTTAGGTTGCAAACTCCTATATTTGAGTTGATTGTGGCAACGGTGACAGAAGCAACAAAAGTGATAGAGGTGACAGCTATTATAGTCCATCTTTTTCCCTTCCCAGAAATCAAAAGATTTCGCATCCAAAAGATTTTTTCGTAAATGCGCAATTGCCTATCGCAAAAATTTCCATTCAAATTTTTAGTTCGGTTTAAAAGTGGATGGTTAATCTTTTCACATTTTTACCCGTACTTTTGCGCATTGTCCTACTGTACTGTGCAAATGAAAAGCATAGCTTAAGCAAAACAGTTCTCAATTGAGTTCAAACTGATAAAATCAATAATCGCCAACGAAATATGTTTTATCCGAACTTTCATCTTCCAGTTCCTTCCATATCATATCATTATAGATTATTTAGAATAGAATCCCAATTAACTGAAACTGCGATCAAATGTTATGCTGAAAGATGATCTATGTTGAAGTTATTGGGCAACTTTCTTGTGAAACGAACTCGAAGTTACTTTTCAGCTTGTCATTCCTCAACTTAATGCAGAATTTCGATAAGGAATGGGAATTAAGGGATGAAAAGGAGAGACTTGCTAATTGTAGGATTTTAAAAGTAGGAAGAATCATTATTGATCAAAAATTCAACATCTACAGAGAATCTGATCAAATCCCTATCTTCAGTTCTGGCGCACATTTCCGTTGCGATGCTGATCCACCGCTTCTGGAAAAGTACAATGTGGCACCATGCAGGCCATCACCACCAGTACCGTACGTTCGTGAACATACATATCGGGTTACAAGTGCTTAACTGATACAATTTATGGCCACATATTCAATGAACATGATTAGGCTGCTCCGCAACAACAGCAAATTCTTGTCTGCTGGATTAGATAATGCTCTCCTTGGGACCATTTTGAAATTCATTGGATTTTTCCCTGCTGCAAATAAATTTCTGATCTGTTTCATGCTTAATTCATTTTCTTGCAAAAAATATTACAAACTTTTGCCAATTAAATTTGCCTTAGTTTGCCTTAGTCTGAAGCAGCTAATCTTTCTTCAGTCTTCTTTCACTATTTGTATCATTTATTAGGTTAATTTTTACTTACCAATATCATTGTTCTGTTATAATGCTCATTTTTGTGCATTTCTAATTCCATTTTCGCATTCATCTGGTGTATAATTTGATTTAACGCCCGAAAATGCCTAAGTTGCCTTTTAAATATTTAATTTTGTTTGTTCCCAAGCTTTTGTAAAAATAGAATAGTTAATTAATATTCTTCCATGTCGAGAAACAAGATTAGAATGCTGCAACCGCTCAGAAACGAATTTATTTAAAGGATAATTTGGGCGCTTTTGTCTCTTCTGCGACTTACACATTTTTATTGATTCTGGAAGCTCATTTATATGTGTTATCAATTATTCATTAAATGTTAATAGGATGCATTGCATTTATTCGCCACTCACATCGATCTCCAATATTCCGAAATATTTTAACAAAATTTAAAAGATTTCAGTTAGGAAAAATCGATTTGAAACTTTATTTACTCTCTTGCTGTTCTGATCATATTTTTTAAGTTATTTTCAAGTGAAGATGATTTCTGTGTAATATTTAAATACTTATGCTTTCTTTCTTCTTTCTTAAATACAAATTTCATTTTCCAGAATTAGTTGGGTTCGTCCGACAATTCTTTCTATGACAAAAAAGGAATGACTCTTGTTTGTTAACATCTATCATTTTCAGAAATTTGCAAACAGTTACTTAATTTTGCTTAAATTCTAATTGTACTTATTACATTAAGTTGTGATTGCTAAGGTTAGGTATGCATTAAGAATCCGATTGGTCTTTGGAGATCATCCTCAATTCATGAAAGCGACTCATGCCAAGCAACATTGGGCCATATACGCTTTTTTTAATGACTTGGAGCAAAGAAGGTTCATTATAAATTTTCAGGTTTTCAGGGTTTCAGTTACGAAGTTACTTTACCGAAGTTTTTGTAAAGGGAATTAATAATTGGTGAAAGCACACAATCTCATTTTTTTCCGCCAAGAAAAAATTTTGCGGAAAAGTTAACATTTTGAATGATTGCATAGATTTGTCACTGTTAACTTCTAATAACTTTGTAATCTTCTAATGATTTCTTCTTTTAATAACTTTTTAACTTCTAACTATTCAACTTCATCAATTCTATAAGTATATTTGGGTGAATATTCGTGAAGAAAATGCTATGAATCATTCAATGTTTTATGCTGTCAAACAGTTTGAAATAATACAACGAGTGATTAGGCCTGTGTGAAACCTAAATATTAAATGAGTTTTTGCGAATGTTTTGAATTTTACTTATGAAATTAAGCAGAAAAAAATTGAATTTAAAATTTTCTCACTTAACATCCATTTTTCATATCACTAAATAGTCATGACTTTATTAAACTGTTTTTCGTTTAAGTTCCCGCGGGATTTCATCCAGCTATTAGGGGCATAATTTTTGCATTATATCTTGATATTGGTATATCAAGTTGTTGAAAATTCCATATGATCTGATATGATTGTTTTTAGTCCTTCTGGCAGTAATGAAAGTGGCATTACTTTTGAGCTTGGCGACAATATTTTTGACTTTGACAGCTAATTATTCACATTGTCTCGTTATTTACTTGTTTAAACCTTAAATTCAAGTGTGTTTTTCCTCTTTCTCGAATGAGAATATAAAACATATTTGATCAGTGAATTTTCAGTAATCAAAATTTTCCCACTTTTCAATCAACCCGTTGATGTAAGTGAAATTTGAAAGCTGTAAAAGTGTTTCTAATTGAGAATTTGAATTACTTCTGTTTGCATTAGTATTTTATGCATATGCATATATATCAACTCTTACTGTTCTTGTTTCGTTTTTTTTCTTTTTTAATAAAAAATGGAAGTTTCCATTCTTGCTGTCAATATTTGACACAAAATTCAACATTGTATTCAGTTTGTTTCAATTAAATTTCATGAAATTATCAAGAAATTTGATAAAATGAAACAGAAAGCTTGAAAGCCTTCAGGCTATGCCTCAGAAAAAGACTGCTAATGTCTGATTGCTAATATTTGGCAATATTATGATGCAAAAGTGCCAATCACTTCCACTTGTCTGCACCTCTTTTAAACACATACGAGGAAGTAATGACCAGAAATGGTCATAGAGTGACATTTAGCTTTCAGTGGTTTTGTTTGCTTTCATCTGTTTTGGAACAACAATTCACCGGTCATTTTATTATAACAGTTTTACTCAACGTAACTTCTCAGCGATTTTATCCATCGAATAGCAAGAATGAGACATGCGACAATTAGTAATACTTCCAATTAAATAATTAATAAAACTTCATGAAGACAGTAGACATCCATCTAAATGTTCTGGAATAATTCAGCAGCTCATGTTTCGGCTAAACATCTTTCAAACAGGGTCATAGTGTCATCTGTCATTCCTTGCAATTATTACTATTGAATGGTTCTTTTGGGCAGGTAAATTGCTACCGATAAATAAAAGATATTCTTCTGAACTGATGATCTTGAAGGTACCATCTCCCAGTATACAATGCTAAAACAAGCAGATCATCTAGAATTTGAAAGATTTCATTTGTTTCTTCAATTTCATCGTTTCACTGGAGCGGTAAATGGAGAAGCTTCGTTTGTTATTACTTTATTTTTCATGTAATTCTATAGATTTAATTAATTCCTCAATGATTCTTCAACGAAAGCTTACCTTTATTTTGATTTTTCTTACATATTACTTTCGGTCCCTCAGTGTCACCTCAGCATTTTCTAAGATGGATTTCCTTTTATGCTGTTATGATTATTTTTTCCTCCTTAACTTTTCATACAGTTTCAGAATATTCCAATTTTAATGTGGCTGTGAACAATCGATGCTGGAATGTCGTATCCCAATGGGATTTCACAACCGATAGCCAAACACAATGGTCGAAATGTGACAAACTTTGACAAACTTACTAAATGAAGTAAACATATGAATGATTAGCTAATTTAGTTGTGTCATCGATAGAAGGGACGAAATGCTTTTCTGATGAGCGAAATTCTTGTCAAAACGTCAAAAGTGTCGTTTCTTTCATTTGCTATAATTAGTACAACAAATTCTCAACACCCTTTTTAACCAATGTGAACTGTAATCATTTCTTTCCATTATGTTAATTATGAAGCTTTTTTTTTTTTACGTTTAAGGATTTAGGAAGTTTATACTTTATTTTAAAGGCAAAAAAGAGTTTTGTTGGTGGCTAACTATTTATGCAAATTTTTGCATTTCCGTCTTTACTTATTGTGTTTGTATATGTTTGCTTACTTACTCTCCCTTCAGTTGCGTTGTTTATTTCTAATGTATTAGTTCGATGAGAAGGTAAAAATTTCGGAAATATGTGACTAAAAATTTGTCGAACAGAAAACATTCTTCTTAAACTATTCATTTTTACCCTGTCTTGACCAAAATAGCAGTATCTTAAAGACTTTTGACACGAAGACTTTTTCTGCTTTTATTTGCAGTAAGGATTTCCCGATGAAAAACAAAATACAATTCCTTTTTTTTCAGTACCGTGACAATCCGACCCAGGTGCAAATCTAATTTTATTATTTTTGCTAATTGATGACTCAAAATATTAATTCAAATTTAAATTCAAATACCAACACTCAACTTTCTTTATTGCCTTCCTTAATTGGAATTTAGCGTTTTCTTCCTTCTACTAATACTTAAACTTATTTCGATTGTTTCAAAACTTTCCATTTCAGTGTCTAGTCATATGAATCATTTAACACGGTCCTGATTTTCTATTTATTCAAGTTTCAATCTAAGAGTTAAATCTTTGTCAGTTCATAAGCTAAAATTGATATAAATGTCAGGGAAAATGCCAAAACTTTCTAGCAGCTCTCATCCTATGAAAAAATTACTTCCTTAAAAGGACTCTGCAAAAACCACATAGCTTGGGCGTTTAAAGTTCAAACTTTTATGGAAGTTTAAAGGACGAATTTCACAAAAACTTTCATTTTTCTAGAGACATAACATCATACTTTTCGTTAAACTTCTACGATGTTTGACATTTAAAGCCAAATTCGGAAAAACCGCGTGGGTGAAAATATATATGTGAAATAATAATTTGAGCCAAAGAATCACGACAAATTAAAGTAATGGTCTAAAGTAGAAAGGATGTGATAGGCAAGTGAAAGTTCGCTAAATAATCCTGAAGGATTGGGAAATTCAAACTATGAAATTTTAAATATGTGGCCCAGTAAACTCTTCATCTGTTTGTTCTCGTCCTTCTTCTCTCCCCATTTCTTCTAATCTGTGTATGTTACCAAAACCTGAAGTTATGACAACATACACTTCAGGTTCAAAACATCGAGCAAACTTGATTTTAGAGATAAATTTGACAAAATTATTCTTCCGATGACTTTAAAAATCTCGTAAGTTGTCATTCCACTGCTAATCTTTCATAGCCTTTTTTTGTTTTATTAGATTTAAAATGAATCAAAATACTAAATGCTGCATATATTGCTTACTTGAATATTTATCTCTGTGCATCACTAGATGAACTTCGTTTAACATTTCATAATTCAGTTTCCTCTTTCAGGTTTTTATATAAAATAAAAGATTGTTTTTAGAAGTTCACATCCATATCAAAAGATTAGATATTAAAATATGGGAGGAAGTTCTGATCATTTATTGATTTCAATTTTTAATAGAGTTGTGATCTTTTCGTATGCGTAAAAATTGAGCATTTAAAGTGTGAAAGAGCTGAATACACTAGTCGCTTCATCGAACAATTATTAAAGTCAAGATAGAAATTGAACTCAAATAAACAAAAAAGATGAAGCAGTTAGAAGTAAATCAAATAATTTAGGGAAAAAGAAAAGTGTTGCTTGAAACAAGGAAGTTGAGAAACTAAAAGGTACCATAGAACCTTACTTCTGGAAAATCTTTTTTATGGGTCCTTGACGTTTCCTTAATGGACGAGAATAAGCATATAATATCTAGACTTTAAATTCAAGTACTCCAATCTCTATTCTATCAAAGAACTATTTTCTTTAAGATTTGTTCTTCACCGAATTTCCTTCCTCTTTCTCGACAAAATCGTTTCGCCAATTCGAGCTCCTCTGTTTAGTCTTTCCCTTTCTTCCCTGACTCCAACTTTTCCTTAACAAAAAAAAAAAAAAAGAAAAAAAACGGATATAGGTTTGAAATTGATGATGATACCATAACTTGGTTTCCTATTCGATCACAACATCAGTTTTCTCTAGAGGACTTCACGCAGTAAGGTCAATACAAAGGCCATGACGATAGGGCCATTTTCCTTCCTACTTCTCCATTTCACAAATAGGCGTGGTTAATTATCTGTCAAAGCAGAAAGGATATGACATACAATCTATACTTGTCTATCTACGGAGACGGTTGGTTTCGCAGTTTGCAGAATTTCACATCCGTTCCATAAGTGATTTTCAGGCTAATTATTATTCGAAGGTCACGTGGGTCAATCATCACTGCTTTAAAAAATATGTTTTGACTAATCGATTCACGCATTGCTGTTGTTACTGCAGCTACTGTTGCCACTATTATTTTCCTTATGTATTTGATAAAAAATTGTTTTACGGAATATTTCAGGAGGAACTTTTTTCTTGCAAAGATCGAAGATTATTCAGTGTCTTCCCTTCTAAAGTTTTTCTTTTTTTCAATTAATTATTTACGAAACAAATAAATCTCTTCATCTCGTCAACCTCTACCTCTGTTTACTCGAAATTTTTTCAAATTTTTAATTGCTGGAAAAATAAAAGAAGAACTGTATTTTCGGATATATTTTATTAATGGGTTTTTATATAATCATGTTTGCTGCCTGGTCTTTAATCACTGAAGATACTGTAATAACCATCGATGATGGCGATTATGAATATTTGGATAATGATTTGGATGAGAATCAAAAACCGGCTGATATCTTCTGGGGAGATGTTCTGGATGATGAACAAGAGAAAGAAAAAAATGATTCATCCGGTGGAAACAATGCTGTGCAACGACGAAATTGCAGTACTGAGACGGTTATCATTGATAAGCTGCTCAATGGTACCGGCTACAATAAATATCGCCTTCCTTGTAAGTATGCAACTCAACGTTTCATTTGCATTGATGCGTTTTTTAAAATTTAGTTTTAAATCCGATTTTTTAAAATTCGAAAATTTTCGAAATCTTTTAGTACATGAGTATATTTTTTTCGTATACATCTGTTATATGAAAAATCTCTTCAGTTAATTAAAAATCAAAATTATTCAATAATTTTATGAACATGAAAAGATTGGCGATGCTTAGAAAATTGCTTTACAGCGATTTTGCTCGATAATGGAAAGGAAAACGTTTTGCTAAATTGCCGTTTAATGACATTTTCAACTGCTAAATTATAATAATTAGCTAATGTACTCGACATGATAACGAAAGATAAAGAAAAAATGCACATAACAAATGGCATTGCTTTGGTACTTGAAGAATTATTCTTCCAAAACTTTTAAATATGGCTAGATTAGGCGAATCGCTCTAACACTAATGTTTTGAATTTTATCTTGGAGACTTATTTATAATAATATTTAATGTTTGGATATGTCATCGATGGTCAGTGAGTGACCTGAGTAACAGGATATCTCGGTGTTTTCGACATCTGTTTAGTGACTGAGAGGGGGAAAGAGAAAGAGAAAGATCAACCTCTTCTAGTAGTTTGGAGATCTTCCACTAAACAATAAAACTAGTGCAGTAATTAGAAATGCATATTTTTTCAAAAATGAATCCTTTGTATAAACCAAATTGATTTAACAGTGCCCGAAACATTTATTTTAACTTGAGAAGTTTTATTTAAAAATCATTTAAGAGCAACTTATCCCAAAATATACTTCCAATGTTGCTATCAATAGTTGTATAATTTTTTAGTAACAAATATAGAATGTCAGGGATCGAAAGCAAATGATGATTAAAAATAAATTATCGAGTGATTTGCATTGCATTTATTGTACTATAAAGGACTTCCTAAATATTTTGATGAAAACTTCTTTAATATATTGCATTGGATAAGTTTGCACTCCAAAAAATATTTTCTTGAGAGGACACAACGAATGGTATAATTTGAGAATTTGAAATTATTGAAAGATAGCGAAAGAGTTTGAAGTCGGACGGGAAGATTAATCCCAGAGCTGTTCATCAACTTGGACGAAATCAATTGGTGATGAAAAATAGTTCGAGAAAAAACCTCAGGGGATCAATTTTGACATGCAGTAAGCATAGATAGGTTTCCGCTTTGCTTGAATACGAAGATATATGTAAGAGTGAGAAACTTGCCACCGCCACTAGAAAGACTAAATGTCAGCAAAAAATGAATTCATTTGAATTGCTTGAAAAAAATTAATGAAAAAGGACAAAAGAGATTGCAATGCAAGAATATATTTATGGATAGTGATGAGCTCAAAAGTGAATGAAAATGTCCTCCGGGAGAAATTTAAAATGAAAAGATGTAAGAGGAGAAAAGGTTGTAGTTTGATTGAATTCCATTAGTTGCAGAAGGAGTGTTTAGAGCAAAAAGGTAGGAAAGGCTAGGCATCTCTAAGCTGTTGACAATACCGTCATCGTTTAACATATGAAATTCAATTCAAGTGGCAATTTAATATAAATGTTCATTGATTGGGCATGAATTTCCACCTATGTACGAATGAGCTTTTTCGTTAACATTTCACTATCACACTTGTAATGTTGGCGAGAAAAAAAAAAGAATTCTACGATTTTTAAAGTACCAAAGATCATCGGAAATGGTTTGATCTTTTAACATTTCAACAAAACTTCAAACTCAGTAATTAATGAAATCAAAATATTATTTACTATACTAACCTCACCAATCTTCGCAATAATTTAGCCTATGTGATAATTTACTGATGATCATAATGATCTCAATGATCAGTGTAATATAATACAGTAGCTTTACCTCTTGCAGCGTTTAAAAATGTACAATGTATAGAAATCATTCCCATTCTTTCTCCTTTTTTTTTAATGTTTGGAATTTCATAGTTCTCGAGATAGGAATTTCGATAATAATTAGCTCGATATTCTCAGCTTTAAAAACACATGCGACATATTTGAAACATTAGTTCTTTGTTTTACTGTCACTTCTATAACTCGAAGGGGGGATTATCTTCGACTACGTTATGATGGTGTATGGGAAAGAATAAAATTTTAGTTTTCCATTTGATAATTTCAAAAAATTTTTGTACTTTCAGACACTGTTAAATATTTAGCAATTTTACGAAAAATTAGCTTAGTTTAATTAAGAGATTTCAATGAACAAACATCGAATTAATTTTATGCAATTATAATCCTAGAAATTAAAATTTAGAACTTAACATGGAATTTAATTTGATATTAATTTGCCCAGTTAACCTCACAAATATATAAATCATCTCTTTGTAGTATACAAAATGGATATATGTAGAAAGATGATGGCGTTGTAATTAGAGTTAATTAGACTTTGTTGTTTAAGTTTAAATGAAAGCTATGGGAACTTCTATGGGACAGGTTATCTCATTTCATTATTTCCTCCTTATCTGCAAAAAGAATGTTCTCATATTAGAAATTGCAGCATTACAACCTCAAATGCTTATTCAACAAGAAAATTTGAAAATTTTACAAATAATTAAATTTGAATTTCATAAATATAAAAATGCTCAAATATCCGGAAACTCACTCCGTTGAACTTAGAAGGTTTTATAATAATGATATTAACTTCCTTTCAATACCATTGATTCCTTAAAAAGTATGTAGTTTGTTCATCTCCGGCCATTTTCTTTTTCTCTCTCTCTTTCTCTTTCCCTCTTCCCTTTCCTCTTTCTCTCAATTTACCAACTTTTCCACTTTGATGCTTCTGAAAGAACACTTACTTAGTTATAAACAACATTCCTTCTAAGTAAGCAAGGATAGTTGATTTAATGTGATTTTCAGTCTTTTCAAAATTAACTTTTGATTTTTGCATTACCCAAATACTTATGTAAACGAAAGAAAATTAAATGTTAGCCGGCTTTTTAATCAATAAACAAATTTTTAGTTTTCACAATTTTCATCTGAAAATAATTGTATTCGTATTCGTTACAAATCACCATGGAAAAATGCTTCGGAAATTTTTTTTAAAAAGCTGAATATTAAGGCGTAGAATACTAAAACTAGTTCAAATTTTTAATCAGGAAATGAAATCCCCGAGGGTTAATCATATTTCTCAAGAGTATTTACAGGTCTCAAAATACTTTGCGAAACAAGTGTGGTGTTTTTCATGTGTTTATTTTAGGATTGATTATATCATTTTGACTGTCCAAAGAATGCTTAAGTAAACAATCGCCAATTAATTAAAAAAATTCTTTCCATAATTTATTACAATCAGTTAGAGCGAAGTTTTTTTATGCGACAAATGTGTGTAGTTGAGTTATTGACCTTTTAAAGTATGTATAATGCCAAGCTAGAAATCTATTCTCATCGTAGTTTGAGACATTTTTTTCTGTTTCGGATTTAAACATAGAAAATAACAAAATTTTTCTTCATAGCAACAATTTGATGAGCTCTTCTAGAAAAGTATATTGGATTTTCAGTTAGCTACTGAGAAATAATTTGATTCCATCTAAAGTTAGTAAGGGATTATTAAGTAAGTAACTAATTATTAAGTAATTAAAAATGGCAGAGATCGATTGCATGACAATGTACTTAAATTAAGCGTAACTTTTCGGTGGTTCATTAAATTAATTGAAATTTGCAACATTATCCGCTAACTAAGACTGGTTCATTGACACATTTTTCTTCGTTCAATTTTTTAAATCGTCATTTTTCATAGTGACAAAGGGAACTACAACGTGCACATTACTCTCTTGCACTGTTGCTCACTCGTTAATTAATTTAATTTTTATATTTAAAGCACACATTTGCACGCTCTTTGATTTCAAGTGTAAAATTAAGATTTTAATATTGCCACTAACTTTCTTCCTAACAAATAAAAATTAAATTTTTTATACTGAATTGTATTTTCATAATTTATCAGTTGAAAATTAGGAATCACAAAAGTGGTGACAGGTAGTTGAGTAGGTTATTGATCATTAAATGAAGAATGAAATTCTATTCAAATTTTATTTTATCACTGTTACCAGATCCGAAAGTTCGCAAATAAACAGTAACATCGTACTAGCCGGCTATCAGCAGCACTTATAGGAGTTTTCAAATTTTATAAAAATTAGATATTCCAAAAATTTTGTTTAAAAATTTTTTTCAAACGTCATGGCTTAGAAGAAGTTTTTACAAAAGTGATTTTTTGCAAGAAATAAATCAAGCGACAATTTATGGAATAAGTTTTTTTGTCATTTCCTCTAACACTCATAGGCGTCACTCTAAGTGAAAACGTTTCGATACTGAGTGAATTGGTGATTCACTGAGAGCTGTCATTTTCAATTAGTTCATTTGCTAGAGAAAAAAAAAATCGAAAATGGCTGGATGATGGAAAAAAATTTCCTTCCTGCTCCTAAGATATCAGATTTTGGTAACTGAGGGATTTGTAGAATTTATTTTGATAATTATTAGTAGTTAATTTCAAGAACTGAAATTGACAGTTTTGCAAAAACGTTCATAAAATAAAAGAATTGAAATTCAAAGAAACATCCAAAAACTATATATTATTTTTTTGTGATTTCATTATTAATTAATTAGATTCATCAACTCCAATTAAATACTTATCCCCTGTGTTCTTCTATCATCATTTACAATTGATTTGTTGAATGCTTTCCACGGCTAGTCGTTTGAACTGAAATTCGATGTGAGGGTTGACACTTCTCAATTTATATCAATTATACTTCAAGCATCGATCATGCCATTAAATTTAATCCAAATTTGAAAAAGATTTTTTTTCGATATAAGTTGTTATCAACGGATCATTCATGGATCAATAAATTATTTGAATATTCAGATTTGCAATGCACATATTTTGCAGTAGAAACTGGGGTCGATGTTGCTGTCGAGTTTTGGATACAATCAATCACATCCATCAACGAAATCACCAATGATTTTGAAGTAAATTTCATTATTTTTTAGTTAATTTTCATTAATTAACGATTATCAGTAGTGCATAATTCATTAATTAGTGCTGATTGATAATCAATTGCGCACAATAAGCTCACTTTTTTTGTTGAAATGTTGAAGAAAAGTTGCAAAAATTAGGAGAAGATGGTAAACTTTTCTTGATTCACACAATTTTATTGAAACTAACCTTTCTTTTATTCCAATATTCTTGCTGTTACATTAGACTATTCGTAGCTCTCAACTTATCATGCCATCCTAGTATGATAATCATAAATATGATAATGATAATGATATACTATATTCACTGAATGACTGCAAAAACTGAAACTTATGATAATCAAAAACTGTTAGAATAATGAGAAAAAGTAATGAACGAAAATAATGAGCTCTTGAAGTGTCGCTAAAGTAATAAGCAGTTTGATCCAAGTTTATTTTAATGATTTAGATGGAAATTTACATCAATGAGATGTGGCTTGACCCTGCTTTGAACTTTGAGCATCTTAACCCATGCAAGGACAATTTGTCGCTCAATCACCAGGTTCTGGATCGACTTTGGACTCCGAATAGTTGTTTTATCAACAGTAAAATTGCCGAAATCCATGAATCCCCCTTCAGGAATTTTTTTTGATATTAATTTTTTCCATATAATATTAATTTTCTTCGCCACATATTTCATTTCTTAATTTTTATACATATTCATATATTCCTATATAATATGTTTTCATATATTAACGTTATTCCAGAAAAATTATTCGTTCAAGAAATATGTTAATATATTAATGGCAGATAAATTTCCTTTATTAGGCTGATAAATAAATAATAGTTATTTTAGCATTTTAGGAACATTTTCTTGATGCTTTACCCAAACGGTACTGTTTGGGTCAATTATGTAAGCTTTTTTTTTCTTATTTTCCGATGCTAATAAAAGTAATCATCCAGAAAAAGCGCAGTTAATAACTAACACTTCTTTACAAATTCTGAAATCCTGCTTCAAATCGATGGTTTTGATAATAAAAGGTCCGGAATTCCAGTCCAGAAAATCAGTACGAAAGTAAATGGAATTAATGCTAATAAGCTGTAATTTACTGCAGAGAGTTCGAGTAAAAGGACCATGTGTCATGGATTTGTCAAATTTTCCAATGGATGTGCAAACTTGCTATTTAATTTATGAAAGGTAAGAATGCAACATGTGAACTATTCAAAAAAACATGTGAAATTTTTGCAATTGACGTGTTTAAGAGTTGACAAATTTCGCACGACAATTGGAAATAGTAGACGACTGCAAATGTGCAGAATGCATGCGACAAATAGTTTTGATTTCAGCTTCAACTACAATAACCAAGAGGTACGGATGCGTTGGAACACAATTAATCCAAATCCAGTCTACGCTGTCAGTGAAATATTATTACCTGATTTTATTTTAATTAATATCACACCGACTCTTAGGATAGAGGTATGCAAATTTCATCATTACAAATATATGAGCTTTTCCAGTTAAGTGTTTGAATTCTTTACCATTAGAAAATCTGTTTCAAATTCGAGCAGAAACAGAAGCACTTTGTTTTACAATAATTTTTATATTTCCTTGAAACTTTTAATTACAATAGTAAGTTTTAAATGAATTGTTCGGATAATGGAACTAAAATGTATGTTTGATCGTATTTTAATTTAGTTAACTAAACTTTCTGCAGCAATAAAATTACAATTATCAGAATTCAAGTCGGTGAATATGAATTGAATTTCAATTTCTATCGTTGAATTAAAAAACTAGAAATCAAATTTAAGAACATATTATCGTTTTGAATTTAGAAATATCCAGCCGGGATGTGGGATGAATTGCATGTGAACTTAACATTCGAAAGGCGCTGTATATGGTATTTTATGCAGGCTTATGTTCCCACTTACCTTACCATTTTCATCAGGTAATTAATTTGGAACTTTATCGATTACAAAAAAGTATGGTGTCCACGTCACAAATTTTTTCAAATTTTTGAATGAACCATAGGATCAACAACCAAAAATAAAAAAAGAAGTTCTTGATCTCACATTCTGGTCAATTTGTTTTTATTGAATGAATGTTAATTGATATATAAATAATCCAATAATATGTTATTTCAACTGGTCATAGTAATCAAATAAGATGAACTAAAAGTTTTTTAAATCTGATTTCAAAGTTTAAATAAAAAGTTTACTTAAGAATGTTAAATTTTTTAGTAGGCTTGTAGATTTATACCAAACAAAGACCGAAATAGCTTTTGTAGCGCAAATAATCATTCTACAAAGTAAATACTTGACTGTTTGATCTTTCAGCAAATTCTAATTTCCAGATTTCAAGAAATTCCAAACAAAAAAAAATCCCTTTGAAACTTCACTTTCTAGTTGGGTATCATTTTCGTTGGGACCACGAGCAATACCAGCCAGAACGATGCTTGGCGTTAATGCTCTGCTAGCAATGATATTCCAGTTCGGCAATATTATGCGAAATTTGCCCAGAGTATCTTATATCAAAGCTATTGGTAAAAGACTTAAATGCTTTTATACTAATTTTTCAAAAAAATATTGCTCTAAATTTTTTCAAACTCTGAAACATTTTTAAAAATCCAGTTTCAAAATTGTGATCTAAAGTAAAAGTGATCAATCATTTAACTTTTCTTACAAATCAAGAATGACCTATGAGATTGTATTGGTCACTGAAGTGTTCAGATATATGGATGCTGGTCTCAATGACTTTCATATTTTCATCATTGATTGAGCTGGCAATAGTTGGTTCAAAGGTGAAAAATATGGAGAGCGGTCAACAGCCAAAGAAGCCATACTGTAAAAATGTAATTTTTTTCTTTGTTCGTTCATTTCATCCTTATAAGCTATGAACACTAGCTTACTAGCTCCTCACCTGCAATGAATCCTGAAAGTATTATCCAACCTCATGGTATCGTCGTTTAGACACTGGATCTCTCATGATCGATCAAGGAAAATTCGTAGCTTAGTTCAATTTGATGAATTAACATAATTTAATTAATCATAAAACATCAATCTAGATCGAGGGAAAAGAATCGAGTCCAAAGGGTGTTTGTGAGTTCGAGAAAAGGTTTATGTTTCCAGTAGAAGGATTTGAATTGAAGTGGTGCCGATCACGTTGGAGATCTAATTCTTGGACACCAGATCGTATAGATCGTTTGTCAAGCATCATCTTCCCCGCATTTTTTGCGTGTTTCAATGCAAGTTCTGCAAATAATTTGTTGAATCCAAATAATTTCAATTACTTAAATTCCAATTCAGTAATGATAGAGGTGAAAATTATCCAGCTGATGCTGTGCAATTATTCGAAATATTACACTAATTAATAGATCCGACAGGTTTTTACATTTCATAAACATCTCATGCAATCTATGAGAGTAAACTACTCACACATTTCAGGTGATCTACTGGTCCTGGTATTCCGAATACTTGTTTTAGCATCAGCCGAACCCGTCTTTAACTGTTAAGTTAATTGCAGAATCCGTCTGATATGATTAGTTGTATTTCCCAAAAATTACTGTGCCTAAATACTGCCGAACAATTACGATTCTGACTCTTTATTCTCATCTATTTTATGCATAAATTTGTCAATAAGTAAGCTTTCTGAGTTCAAAGTAAAGTGGAATAGCTAACTCTGACTTCAATCAATGCAGGAATGATTCAAATGTCCTCAAAATATTTTGAAAATAAGAAGGTACCGAGAAATTTACTTTCAGGAACTTTTACTTAAAAATAGTACTTAAAAATAAACCTAGATTTTGTGTTATTATGTCTTGCACATTTTTCATTCCTACTTTTTACAGTATGTATCGAGGAAACATTGAATGCTAAGAAATCACCGGACTGAAATGATTAGATTGAAACTTTCAACATTATTCCAGAAATGCAATGTGCCCAGAAATAACTCTTTTCGTCGCCTTTTTCATATCTCTTGACCAATAATTTCCACAGTATTTCAATCGATGATAAAATGAGTTTCTTTTCACCGAAAAAGCAATCTTGGTAATAAAATTCTTTTATCAAAGAATTTTATTATATTTTATTTTATCAAAGAATTTTACAAAGAATTTTGTAAAATTCTTTTATCATTTTATATTTGCCAAGCAACCTTAAAATATATATAAAATTAATATAAATATATAAAATAATATATAAAATTAATTCACCAACAGACATATAATATATGGTACTGATTTTTTTAAAGGCTTTCAAGTGTGGAGCGGTATTGTCAAAATGTGATTTTGTTGTAAACCCCATGCTCTGTCAGTGTCACCAAAAATGGTGATAAATTTTACTGTCCACTTTTTTCCTTCACACAACCTGTTATCACCGTGCAAAATTTCAGCAAAAATTTTCACATTTATAACACACAAAAAACACTAATTTGTTATTATTGAGTTGTCAAAAGAAATCATTTTGTCTCATATAAATAGGCGTACATCTATTGCACGTCTAATTTGTACTGCCTGTAATTCCCACAGTTAGGTTAATGAATTGAACAGCTGATTTCCTTCCTTCCTTCCTTCCTTCCTTCCTTCCTTACTTACTTACTTACTTACTTATTTACTCACTTACTTTAATGTGTGTTTAATTCATTCTTCTGAGAATGTCTGTGTATTTTTCAACTTTTTGAATAAAAGTTTCCTAACCATTTAACATCTCAACATAATTAAGTAAAGGAATCGGAAGATTTAAGATGGAATAAATCCAACAAGAAATGAAACGAAGAACGATAATAGTCACGTTGGACATAATCAATGTCCACAAATATTAGCACTTGCGAAATTTCACGAAATGGAGCATAAGAATACTGGATGGATATTCTTACGACTATAACTTAGCAAAAAATATATCTAAACTTTGCTATCTCAAATGTATTTATGGTGTTTTTATGAATGGATATCCGGGAAGGTTTTTATAAGCAAGTGAAAAACGATATTAATATCAGATGCTATGAAATAATGAGTGACTAATCCGAAGAGCAGCGATTCAGTGATTGTTACTGAGGTTCTTTTGCAGCATAAAATTTTATCCAGATTGGAGTAACTAATTAAGCTGATTAGCATATCCACAAGAAAAAATATTGATTGTTCTAATCAATCAATAATGCTTATTTGTAACCATTCAAACTTCTAGTTAATACATACCTTTCTATGTTTAGCTATCGCATGATAGCATAATTTTAATGAATAATAATGAATGCTTAATTAATTAGGCAGGAAAAGGAACATTTATGAAATTTTACAGGCACTTGAAAAAGCTAAAGAAGCAGGTCGACGTGAACGTACGATTGTGAAAATGCGTGAACAATTATCAATTGTAGAGCAACTCAATTTAGATCTTACATTTACAGTATTATTTAATTTAGCTCATCAGGTATGCATGCTAATTAAATTTAACTTTTTATT